CACAGTGATCAGCACCTCCCCTAATAAGAAAAAGGAAGCCATTGAAAACCTTGGTGCTGATTCCTTTTTGGTCAGCCGTGACAACGGCCAAATGCAGGTGATTATTTTCTTTGCATAAGGGTCCATTAAAATTGACCAAAAAAAAAAAGCTCCATAATAGACGACTTTAGGGTATCGTCAGGGTGAGGATGTGAAGAAATGTCCCACCTCAACTTCCTTTAGTCAGTTTGATTTTTGTGAAGTGAATGAGTTATGTTGATTGTGTAGGCTGCCATGGGCACAATGGATGGTATCATTGACACAGTTTCTGCTGTCCACCCTCTCTTGCCTTTGCTTGGTTTATTGAAGACCAATGGGAAGCTTGTTTTGGTTGGAGTACCAGAGAAGCCTCTTGAGCTACCTGTTGTTCCTTTGATCAGTGGTAGGCATATGATTCACTAACTTCTAACCTTAACTGGGTTTAAATTGAGCGAATGCATACGTACTTGAGAAAGAAATGCCTTTCTTACTAACTGTTGACATTGTTAGCACAATAATTATCTTAATTTGTTTCTGATTCTTTTTACTCAGCTGTGCGTTTATTTGGTATTAATAGATGATCAATATCAACAAAAATATTTTGTTTTGTAATTTCAGGAAGGAAGATAGTGGCTGGTAGTACTATTGGAGGTCTGAAGGAGACACAAGAGATGATTGATTTTGCAGGTAAACACAACATAACAGCTAACATCGAGCTTATCCCAATTGATTATGTGAACACTGCTATGGAGCGTCTCACCAAAGCAGATGTTAGATACCGTTTCGTTATCGACGTTGCAAACACATTGAAGTCAAGCTCTTAAATTTTGCACCCAAACATACTCATATCATGGAATAATAAGATTACAAACTAAATTCGATTTAGTTGTATACTATATGGTGAAAATTTTACCTTGTTTATGAGCACAATGTATTAAGCTACATTCTGATTAAGTATTGATATGTTTTATTCTAAAATTTTAATTTGTGTGTGAGGTTATGGTCTTTTCTTATTTATAATATTTCTATGCATGAGGTTAGGGTCTTTCAACGGAAAAATTAGGTTTCGTTCAATGTCTCTTTCTTTTAATTCATTTTAAAATTGGTCGGATTTCGTTTAAACAATTTGGTTCTTAGTTTGGAAATCCAAAATTGGTGATTTCATTTAATCAAACCGCCCTTTAAAAAAAAAAAAAATTACAAATGCTTACATCTTCCACGTGAAAATACCCCTTGATGTGGCAGACCTCATGATGCACAAAAGATGACTAGTTAAAACACGAGCAATTTGACTAGTCATAACCTAATGCATTTTAATGAATGTAATGCAAAATTTACCTTTGGCAACCCTTGATTATGTTGAGCCATTGATGAACACAGTCAAAGGAAAACAACTAGATACAAATGTAACCTAGTCTAATAACCTTGAGCTTGAGAAATTACATTATATATCCTACTACAAAATTGGCAAGGAAAGCTAAAAGAATACTTGCTAGAATACAACTCAACAAGAGGACGTCGAGAGGAATCCATAGCCCCTGACCTTGCGTGATTCTAACGTCGGACTGAAAAGTTATGGCTAGTCAAAGTTTGGAGATGAGATAAAGAGGGAGAAGACAGACAAAGTCTCGAACATGGCCCGATTAAGTAAGGCCTAAAACGGCACAGCCCGTATCTTTAGACGAGCCGGGACAAGCTAATTCGGCCCGAAGCCCAATGGGCCGCCCCGTTTAAAGCCCATTTATTAAATTATATTTGTTTTAGAGACACATAATACATAATATTATTATATTTATATCTTAAATTCAAGTCTTTTTATTTTCTCTAATAATATATATTAAAATTTAATGTGTTCTTTATAAATAAAGTAATAATTATGTTTTTAGGTTTCAATTTTTAAAACTTGAACAATAATCTAGCCATTTTATATTTAAATGTACTTCAATTAAAGTTATTGACCACTTTTTCCAACAAATAATAACTCTTATTAATATGTACATAATTGTAAAATAGATATAAATGAAGTTGTATAAAAAAAAGAAATTGCAAAAAAAAATGCAATACATAAGACAAATTTGGTGTGGGCCCATATCGGCTCGTTAAGTGGCCTAGCACGAGCACAACCCGTTTATTAATGGGCCGACTCTAAACAAGCCAGCCCGGCCTAGCCAATTTGACACCTCTAGAAAGGAGGGGCAGCTCAGAATTTATTAAAAAATATCTTCTCTAAAATTACCATAAGGCCCCCCAAGTTCAACTGTGCTTAGCTTCTAAGTTTCAACGCCGATTTTCGAACCGTTTGCACCGATGCGCTCATGAGATCAAACCGTATTTTTCTAGCTAAGAATCATAATTTTCTCACTTTAATTTCTTAAATGCCTCTTGTAAAACCATAATAAAACGCAAGCGAAAAATACTTTTTAAACACACTTAAGTTCAAATTCCAATATTCTCAATCCAAAACACTTGATAAAATACTCACAATCATACTACACCATAATATTATTTTTCACTAAAAGAAGAAAATTCTATGGTGAAGGGATTTGATCCTTATTGGTGTTCTCGCTCGATGTCTGGTTGGAGAAAGACCGATGAAATGCAAATTGGACAAACATTGTGATACCTCACTAGCATCACTAACTAGAAATATAAAATAATTAGGCAGGAAATAAACAAAAAAAGAGTTTGCTCTCAAGTGAAAGACCATCTCTGGCATTAAAAAAAACTAAAGAATAATTCAAACGCACAAGGACTCGTGGGATAAAACAAATACACAAGGTATAAGCAGGCAAACTCAGTAAATCAACAAAGAGATGATGGGATATCTACTCTTGGAGCTTCATATTTATATACATACGTACATGTCTTCTAAGATATTATATGAGTTCAATTAGCTAGGCTAGAGGGTATAACTACCTAGACTAGAGGTAATTTATGGATTTAATTACCTGGACTAGAGGTAATTTATGGGTTTAATTACCTGCATACTGCATACGAGGTGTATGCATAGGTACCTTA